TACCATTTAAACATCAACTAACATCAACAAAATACTTCTGACTTGTCTTGGAATAACAAATGTGCCATTCAAACAAAAAATTACACACACAAATTACTTGAAGCAACTTGAAGAGAGGTCTTTTCTTCCCTGTTGGCTGCAAGGTATAAGCAAGACATTGCATGGACCAAAAATCAGATTATTGTGGTTATTTTCAAAGAAAGTCTAATGGATAACTTCTTAAAGGCAGGTATATGCTGTAAGATGCAGTTAAGTACCTACTGTGATAAAAGTACTAAAGATGTTCAAATGCCACTAAAATTCAAAAGGGGTTAGGGGACTCTGTTGTTAAAATGCCCCAAAAGCTTCAGTGTGATTATCTTTCTCTGTTACTCTCTAAATTCCTTTGATATCCAGGTCTTATGCTTTTTTCTTCTTTAAAAATCCCACCAGAGAAGAATATGACTGGGAGGTGAATGCCCCCTTCCAAATAGGATTTTGACCCAGGTATTTAAACCTGTGCCACTGCCAAAGTCTCATAAAACTGAAAGGGTTTTACATCTGGGAGGGAGTCCCATAGCTATAAGAGAAGGTAAATTGGCAATGGATTGAAAACAAGTTACTAATTCTTCACATGCCTTTTTTTCAGCTGCCTATTTCTCTGTCCTTTAAAAGCCACCCTCCACGTCCTATTTCCCAGGAAGTCCATTTGGTTTCTCCTTTCTCCCCATTACCAACTCTTTCACTCATTGCACAATGCCTCCCTTCCCTCTCCACATTGCTCAACTCTTTCCAGGGAAGGGTTACTCTGTCACTCCATCCTGCCTTCCCAACTGTCCCAGCCTGAGTCTCATGTTATGCTGCTCTTCAGTGATAAATCGTTATCATCATCCCTTTCCCCTTTGACATGTCTTTTTTTTTTTTCCCCCAAAGACCTGCATAAACCACCTTTAACCATAGAATGCAGAACAGTCTTTGTAACATAAATTTCAAATGCTCTTCAGAAAATCCTGAGTGAAGCTTCCAGTAAACACCAGAGAGCACAAGAAACCCACCCAGTGCCCTGCTTTTGGGTAACTTTTCCACACTCTGGGTAGGTAAAAAGGGAGTGGGGGAGAGCTGTCAGTTCAGTGACACTGGTGCACTCCACACTCCTTGCACAAAAAAAATGGTCTGGATCAAAGTCTGCTGAGTTGCAATAATGTGTACAAAGAGAGTAAAATACAGAGCCTTTTAAGGTCATCTCCAACCAAACTGAAGTAAATTAATTAATGAGTAATGTATTAATGGGGTTAGAAGAGCCAATGAGAAATTATTACCAGGAATTATTGTAGAGCTAATTAATGTCTGCATGTATGTGTACATAGACATGGATATGCACTGAAATTATTTCTGCGAAGACTATACCGAGTAACTGTTTGAGAAACCTGTACAAATGCTGAGTATGTTCTTGATCAGTGCATCTGAAAAGTCTGATTCCCAGGTATTTGTCACATCATCAGTGCTCCAAGAGTGATTTTCTCCACTATAGAAAAGGAGGGACAGGAACCTGTCTCACAAAAGAAATAGAAAACACTGTTGATGTTTATTTTCAGTCTAAGTCTCCAGGGGAAAAAAAAAAAAAAAAGTATAGCCTGCTTTCCCATTTCGCATTCAGATTTAAAAAAATCTTTAGTACTTCTGCTGGAGCTATTTCTCTCTCTGTTGTGTCTCCTACATCAGTGGGGCTTTCTTCACTAGTTTTCATTTGGAAAACAGGTTCGCAAAAAGTGCTAAGCTTGAACATGAAGAGATTTTGTTTGTTAATTAGACCTATAAAATCTCCATGAGGACCCAGGGCAAGGCAGGTGACCTCACTATCCATCAGCTCTCACTGGCAAAGCAAGCTCCGCACCTGAACCAAGACCCTGCCGTGAGCTGTGCTGCTGAATGGATGCGCTTGTAAGGGCAACCTGGATGCTCGGCCTCGTCTGCATGGGGACATTCATTGAGCAGCACAGCTACAGCAGTCCAGGGGCATAGCTGTGGAGAGCTTTAGTGAAGACTGACTGGATCAATATCCCTATCATTGCTTATGTCAAGTAACGAACTCCATCATTACTTGTACCAGTGTGCCCCATGGCATGTTAATTTGCATGTGGCTACTCATAATATGCAGGGTATAGTGTGTTCGTGCAGCTACTTTTGTGTAGATACATTGTGAGGACAAGCCTTAGAAATACAAACAAAAAATATGCCAATATACACAATAATATATCTATAAAATTGAACTCCCTCTTCTTCCATTGCATAAGAACAGCAGGTGTGAGAAGAAAACCATGCAATTTCACTTTTTATAACCACTATGACTAGAAACAAGGATGTATAAAGAAGAGATCTCTGAGGCCAGGTTGGCAAAAAATAAATTCTGAGAGGAAGCTTGCACTGTAGGGGCCAGCAGTTTCCCTGGGGGCAGGCGAAGGTTGTGTTAGGTGCTCTGCTCCTGTTGACCCTTTCAAGACACTTTAGCAAAAGTTCCTCTTGACAAAAAACCTGCAAGCAAGGGGAATAACCAAGAGAGGTTATGCATTTAGAAAACATGATAAAACTTGTTGGATTCTTTGGAAGAAAAGGGCATTTTTACAAATGGGAATTGTTCTGGGCAGGTCAGGATTCCCCTGTCAACTGTCCTGCTGCTGTTCCTGCTTCATCCTAAACTGCTTGTGTTGCTTCTGTGATGATAGTTGTGTCTTTCTCCTAGGTATTTCTCTTATAGCAATAATGCCATCTTCTTTTACATTTACTGCTAGCAGTGCCACAAACCAGCATCCTGTTTGCCTTCTTTATTGCAGCTGCATATGGGGCAGAAGGCTTTAGGGACTTTCATGCAATAATTCCCAAATCTTTTCCCCGTAAGTATACTGCAAACTCAACTCACTACAAAGCATTTCCATCTAGTTCCTACTTTTGTGATTTTTTGTTTGTGTCATTTTGCTTCTCAGTAATGCATGTTTGTCTGCATACGCTACCAAAGGGTTTAAGTAGTCTGATCTTTTTGCTTCGTTCATATGTATTTTGTTTTAACTTAACATAAAGCCTACGTCAAAAGCCACCTTCTCCAAGTCCTTAGCAGGCAAGGAGCCTGTAATTGTTTTTTATAAACATATTTACATTCAAATTATTATTCTTATAATTAAGAGAAAAAAAATGGAGTGTGAATTATGGAAAATCTGTCATATGCTCAAGTCAAATATTTCTATTGCTTCTGTTTGCCATGGTGAAAACAGCAGTAGGGGGTTCTAGTCCACTAAATTTGCAGAATAGTGTAGATCAGTTCTGTTTAGCCAGTCATACCATCTTTGTAAATCACTGTTTGGTGACTGATTATTTTTTCTCCATACTTCTAAATTATTCCCCTTTTTATGGCATACATTTTAAAGGAAAACCTGCGATTTATGATGTGCACTCATTCTGTCTTACATATGATTTCTATTAAAAATGTAGTATTTGAAAAGTCATTAAAATGCCTAGATTGGTAGACTTTGTAAAAGGTGTCCAGTCAAGCAGTGTTCAGAAATGTGAACACCTTTACGCTCAATGTGTTGCCCAGTAGGATTTTGAGTCAGATACTCTTGTCAGTCGCATCCATGCAATCCTCCTGGGACACGTGGGAGGTTGCAGGGTATAGCACAGAAGAGTTTGCCAAACCTTTCAATTACAAATGAATGTCAAGGTCTTTCATCTCTTGAGGTAGCTGCTGCCCATAGCTTAATTACGTCATTGCTACACCACCAGTTATGAATAAGGCTACCATGAAACTACTGTTCCACAAAAGGAAAAGACCTAGTCTTTATTGAGTGAAACAGACCCCTTGTGTACTCAGCTAGCCACTAAAGTAAATGCTCTCCTTTTTGGGGTGGGGTGGGGTGGAGTGAAGAAAGAGGTTTTTCACTGAAAGGAAAATGAGATTTGGGGCAATGGAATGGTCTTTTTCAGCCTTAATGAAGAACTATTTTTTCACCAAAACCATCAGATTAGAAAAGAGGGAAATAACTGTAAAGATGATTTATTTGACACAAAGCATCATACAGTCCTGTGGAGAGAAGAGGAATGAATACTGGCATTAACTGATCCAAATCCTGGACCTTTTTCATAACATTTATGTTTGCTGTGTTCATATCATATCAAATTTACCAACCTACATGTTATCACATGTAGTGAGGCTATGCCAAATTTATACCTGAATTATTCTTCTAGCTGCAAGCGATTGTCACCTATGGGATTATAACACAAAGGACTTACCCAATAAAGTCAAAACAGTTCTCCCACCCACCTTTGTTGATTTGACTGTTTTTCAATAGTAGCTCATGGCTGTAGAGATCCTCTCCTCTTACTCAGCGATCCCAATCCTGCTAATCCTAAAAACACAGTTATCATTCCTATAATTTCCTGTAATGCTAGCTCTTGCTCTTAAATTCTTCCTTCCGTCCTTTCCCACCCTGGTTTCTCTATCGCTTTTTGTACTCTTAGCTTTCCCATTGTCCTTGCTTACCCCACAGAACTGCAAACCAAATATTTGGATTCAGTACAACCCTCGGGATCTTCCTGCCAAGTGGAGAATGTTGCATTTTCAGTTCATTTTCATCCATTGTCTTTGATGAGTTACTTACTTTCACAATTGTTTTGGACAAATCCATGTGAAGTGGAATCATTTTAAGTTTCATTCCAATTAGCCTGAATTGTCAAAATGAACATTACAAATGCAAAAATCTCAAAGTGACCTAGGAACAGACTTGTAATGTTGTTTGGGTTCCCAGCTGCCTGGATACCTTGTATTTGTCTTACTGATATTCACTGTTCATTGCTCCATGTGTTACAAACTCGTCGCATTGCCCATAGAAATGTAGTCGTGTTTGTAGCTTTTGTTATTTAGGTATATTGTACATGCTGTTTAGACATTATCTCCTTTGATGTGATTGTTTCTTTGCCACCATATTTACTCTGTAACAAAACTGAGTGGCATCCTGTATTGTTTTTTTCAGCTGGTAATATTAAAATAGAGACTCAGAGTGATGAAGAGAATGGGCGTGCCTGTGAAATGAATGGGGAAGAATGTGCGGAGGATTTACGAATGCTTGATACCTCGGGAGAGAAAATGAATGGCTCACACAATGGCCCAGGCAGCAAGGCTATGTCAGGAGTTGGAGGCATTCGACTTCCTAACGGAAAGCTAAAATGTGATATCTGTGGGATAATTTGCATCGGTCCCAATGTGCTCATGGTTCACAAACGAAGCCATACTGGTAAGGCCTGCCATAGTTTTTCCTTTAGTTGACAAGAACTGGCCACGTATTAGGACCTAAGACTTATTTTCTGTATCATGTACATGTTCCCTCTTGTAAGATAATGCAGTATCGGTGGGCATTTGGAACTCGGTTATTTTGTTATGCCATTTTGGACAGCACAGGAACTGAGATTTCTTCTTGATAGAAGTCCATCTATTGGGCTAGAAATTGTGCAGTTTGTTTGGTTTGAAGCTACATCAAAAAGTCAAATTTAAAAACAAAGTAAAGAAGTCTTGCTTAATTTCTAAGAAATTTCTAAGAATTGCTGAAGAAAAACCCATTTGTGGCTGACTCTGAAATCGACCCAGTTCTAATGCTTCCAACAATGCAACAAAGATCATTATGGATCAGTGATTATGAAAGTGATTAGCTAAATAAATGTTAAGGGAATGGTACTGGCAGTCTTAGTAAAAAAGGGGTTAATTTTATGTCAAATATTTCATGAAGTAAAAACAAGTATTGTCACTGGTCAAATCTGGACGAAAGGGTTTCCACTGGGACACTAAAAGAGACGTGTAAAGATGTTGTGCTCCATAGGGATTGCTTTTCATTATACAGTGCTGTGAATCTTCTTGCCTCAATTTTCTAATTCTAAATAGTCTCAGAGGGTGCAAAAAATGAAGAGGCTGAAACAAATGAAGAAGTAAAAACCAGGGTGAGTGTCATCTTACCTGATATAAGCTGTCTAAAAATCAGGCTTCCAATCTAAGCTCTAAGGTCATCCATAGTCAAAGGAGAAGAACTGAACTGTACTGTTGTGCTACACAAATTACTTTGAAAATGAATAAATAAAGTATTTGGCATTTTTGCATGAATATTCAAATGAGAGGGAATTGTGAAGTGTTTTTAAGGTAAGAACGACCTGTCCAATGGTTAGATTCCACTGAAATAGTCATGCTAGCGAACGCATAGATACTTTCTCCCTCCCCATCCTCGCAATCATGCTTAAATGATTTCCCCAGAATTACTAAGGAGTGAGATTAGCAAAGTATTTTCAGAGTTTAATGAAAAAACCCCGAGTGTTGTCCATCCCCCCCAGTGCTCATGTCTGTCATTGTAACTGTGGCTGTTCAAGCTCTGCAAGGGTGTGATCTGTTAGTGTAACGTAGGTTAGCCACGTTCAGAAGCAGTGCTGCTGATAGTTAGCAATGCTGTTACATTGCCTACTTCAAAGTAGTCTTTAATTCAATATGATAAATCCCTGTGTCAGAGAAGAGCAGATAATTATCTTTATTGGAAAAGCCACAACTAGTTCTCAGAAGAGAGGCTGCAGCCTACTTCCTAGATATAATAAAGTGCTTGTTGGTTTGTTGTTTCCTTTTTTTTTAATTGAATGTTAATGTGATCCTTTGAAAGTTGATAAAATATATATGGAAAATGACTTGGACATGAGGCCTTTTAAACAGGCCCATGGGCTTGAAGAGGATGCTGTAGTAATTGAAATAATGTTGCAACTTAAAATGCATTTAGAGGCAGAAGTCTCTGTGGTTGTTTAAGGAGGCCGCTGTTTCATTAAAGTATGCTGTTGCTGCTTCAGAGGAGCTGTTTTGGGTCCCTGAGGGTCAGAGGCAGTGTTTGCACCAGGACTGAATGGCCTTTGTGGGGACACACCTGATTTTAGGGAGGTGGCAGGCAGAGCTGCCTTCGTTTCTAGTGCACTGGTTGGCAGCCGGCAGGCTGAGCCTCCGGAGGATGAGCTGGGCTGCCAGCTCCCTGTGGCAGCGTCCCCGGGGGCCACCTCGCTGGCTTCTCTGGCACAGACCTCCAGCTGCCCAAACTCCCTGCCTGGCAGAGGGGCTCATGTGCCTGCCAAGGGTGCTCGGGTGGCTACCAGGCAAGCCTGTCACTCTTGAGACTTCTCCACTCTTTGCAGAGCCTTCCCCTTGCTAATGTGACCCTCTTTTTCATCAGGGAACGTAGTTAAGACCTACACACGAGCTGCACTTCTCTCAGCAGGACCCCCTTCTTTTACACTTAATAAAACTAAAGGGTGTGAAGTTGCGCCCCTGAGTCCTTCCATGGAAAGAAAGCCTTTGCTTTCCTTCCCACCTCGCCCTCATGAGCAGCTTCTTCGGGTGAGCTCAGGCGCTTTGTCGGGGGCTGGCAAGGGAGTGGAGGCTCAGAGCTGGTAGTTTAAATTAAAGGGACGTCATGGGGAAACAGTGGTGACTGCTTTTCCTTTCAGCTGCACTGTGAAAATTAAAGTGGAAATGGGATATACTATTACAGACATTTAACTGACTATGCCGAAGCCCATTTCAATACGTGCCTGGTGAAGGAATAAGACTCACAAATGAATTACTTTGCTGCTAATTCATGTAAAACCTGCATATTTCCTTAAATAAATATTTGATAAGTGAACAAAACTCTAGCATACTGAAGTGCCAAAATAAAATGACTGCCTGACCTGATAAAAGGCATAATTACTTTTAATGAATACACCTGCCAAGTGCAGATATGCAGAGCCGCACCTGATATTTCTGCCCCCTCCTGTCTGCAAGCAGCTGTACAGCACTGACTGCTCCGTAGCACCTTACCTGTTGCTCCTGTCTGCGGAGTGAATCCCACTCACAGATGCCCGACTCTCCTCACTCTCCTTCCCCGAGGCTTTCAGTACGCTGATTTTCTCCAGCTTGCTGCTGTCTTGCTTGGTGTTTAGGAAAAAGGAGATCTAGAAAGCAGAGAGAAACCCCCTCCTGCTCCCTGGTGCTGAGACCTCAGGGTATAGATTCAGGCTTCGCTTGCGCAGTGTACACATATGTGTGTGTATGAGTATACATGTGCACATATATGTGTGTGTGCATAGGTGTATATATCCCCTCCTTATATGTACACTCCTTTGACTTAAGTCACCAGTTAGTTCACTTATGTCTTGTTAGTTGGGTCCAAATGTCTCAAATTTATTTAGAGAACTAATGCCCATTGAAGAATGAGCATTAAAAAGAGAGCTATGCACATCTCTGAGTATTAGGTGATTTTGTCATTATATTGTTTAAGAAATAAGAAAGATTTCAATTAAGATGATAAATATTTTTCACTGAATAAGTAGTCCAGGGCCCGTGCTCCCACTAAGGCGTTCAAATCACTGCAATGGTGGTTGATTCAATTCAGGGTCCCATTGCAGTTTTTGCTCCTGGGCCCATATTCGTCCATAGCTACACCCCATCCAGTGAAATCTGCCCAGGATAGAGATGTGCTGTTCAGAACTGGCGAGAAAATAACACACAAATCTGACCGTTTAAACAAGAGATGCATTATGTATTTTTTCTTCCCGTCCTGCCCCTTCCCCATTTTGGGGGGATAGCACCACACCAAGTAACCTTCCATCAGTGACCGTCTCCACCCTCGCAGGGCCGGGAGCTTTGCTGGGCTCGCAAGGCAGGCGTTCCCCACCCCAGTAGTTTAAGCTTGGACAACCAAGGGCCGGCCAAGCTACACGTAGTTTCAGGGTCTTTCGGTGGTGGTGTCTTTTCCCTTGTACAGCAACGTGAGTGCAGGTGCCCTTACATTTGATCCCACTGTAAGTTTTGTAGAAATATTTGGTACGCAGCAGTCTCATTTGAAATGCTCCATCCGTCTGTCTTCTCCACCCAGTGTCAAGATTTCACACTGTAATTGTGAGAGCTGTAGGCTGGAGATACATTTTGTTCTTACTTTGCTTTACATTTCATTCCTGGAGTACTTTTATGATCCTCATTTTCTCCTCTTACGCTCCTCTGAGTAAAAATAACAGAAATGAATGCTAGAAAAGCTTTTTAGTAAGAATTAACCATTTCTTCTGAATTTGTGTCCCCCATGACAAACTGACTTCTTCATTACTGTTTCAGTCCATTTATGAAAAATACCTTCCACGCTGAGTAACTGCCCCAAAGATTAAGAGGTAAAGCAGACAGACTGTTACCCATTTTCTTTTTCCCAACAGCTACTGTGCATGGCTTATGAAGTACATTGCAAAATCCTGTAAGGCTAATGCTGGCATTTTTGCGGGCCACCCCTGTTGAACCAGTTGCAGATATAGTTTAGATGAATACAGTCACTTGATGGACAAAGAAAGTGAGCTCATTTGGCTTGACAGGGACTACGCTGACCTGCTTGAAGCTGTTTGACCAATGGAAGTGTCTTGCCATAAAGTAGATTAATTTTACTGTTTGCTGAATGCTAAAGCTGCCAGCCCTGATGGTATATTTTGCAGATTTTGGGGTTGGGAGTGTGCCACTGTCTATTGATTTTCAGCTGTTCTACTGCATTACCCAAAAGTAAAAAATGATCTTGCTGCACATATATGCATACATATGGACATGGTCCTAGATGTGCAGAAAAATACATGATGATTAAGTAGGAGAGAAGAAAGAAATTGTTTAACTTGTATTTATTTCTTTTATTTTTTAACTTCAGCGCTGAAATTTTAAATTCAGTATTATTGTCATATAAAAAATAAAAAATAAGAACAAGTCATCTCTTGGCTGTTTCTAATATTGTTAATGCATTATAATTACTATAGCAGATTATATTTATGCCTAAGAGAAACAGAATTCAGCAAATGAGTTTCAAAGGCTGGTTTGACTTAGTTGAGGGCTACAGAGAAACAGGCATGCAGGAGTGGTTCCTGTTGATGGAGTGCTCTCATGTATAAATTTTCCTTTAATATTATCTGGTACAACTGGAAAGATATTTTATTTCCCACTGACTTAAGAAAAGGCCTCATCTATCTTAAATTTTTAAAAAATAGCTAAGCAAATAAATGAGCATATTGATTCTAAACAGCACTAAAAAGCAAACAACAGCCATATTAATTTTTGCAAAGGCTAGTTGATTCGCTCCCTTGATAACAGGCACCAGTTTAGACAAATCAGTGTTGTGTCTCTTCAAGTTTTATCCTGTGTCCGTCCAAAGTGCAGACCAGCAGAGCCTGTTTGTGCAGCTCCTCTGTTCACACCTTACCTAGAGAAGGGTTGGGACTTCGGCAGGGAAGTACAGGGCTTCCTTTGCACTGTCTTAACTTGTGTGATTTTAGCCTCTCTCTTTCTCTCTCTTTCTCTGTCTCTTTCCTGATTTGGCTGCTTAGGGACAGACAGGTAATGGAGAAGAAATTGAAAGGGAAAATACAGGGAAAATGTAAATGAAAAGAAGTTATTATAACTGTTATAATGAAGTGCCTTTCATTTAAATATAAGAATGTAACGCTGAAATGAACTTGTGATCCTGAAATGCATTTTTAATGAGTTTCCTTTTTATTTTGCTGCTTCAGTGGCATATTTTAAAGACCCTTTGAAAAAAGCCACATTAAAAACCCCACCAAATGCCACAACATGCAAAATTGGATATTGGTTTATTCCAAAACTGCTGATCAGGAAGAGTGGCTCTTCAACACAAAATGTTGCAGTCACTTTATTTAAATGAGTTTGAATTTGCATTGTGATGTGCCATTCTGATTTAGAAAAAAAAAATTAGATTTTCAGATCAAATTGACCTAGCCAGTGAAGCATTAAGAAACTGGCAGGTTTAGTCTGAAAGCCTCATGTTATATCAAACCTGCAGCCGGTGGAAGTCACAGAGCAGCAGTGAGAAAACAACTTTCTCACTGAAATCTTTCTCTTGTTACCACGTAAGATTTTTTGTTCTCACATATTCTCTCCTTCTCCCCGTAGGAGAACGCCCTTTCCAGTGCAATCAGTGCGGAGCCTCCTTTACACAGAAGGGCAACCTTCTGCGCCACATAAAGTTGCACTCGGGCGAAAAGCCCTTCAAGTGTCACCTGTGTAACTACGCCTGCCGTCGCAGGGATGCCCTCACGGGACACCTGAGGACTCACTCGGGTAAGTGAAGGTGCAGGACCCTCCAGGGGCACTCATCTCTGCGCCCACCGAGGAGATGGGGGTGTTTGTGGCCACCTGAGCGTTCTTCTCACCCTGGGGAGGCGAGTAGCCCCATGTTGGGGTTAACCAAGCTGTGAGGTGGCTGCAGAGTTTTAGCAGCAAAGAAATGACTAAACTCATCTCACGCTCATGATCCTTCACCAGAACTGCGTTTTTTCCCACACTTGGCTGATTAAAAGGTTTTATATTAAGGTTTCACCTAACAAGCCTCATGTGAGTAATCCATTTCATGGAACTACGAACATGAATTAAAGCAGAGGAATGTTTTAGGGTTTGGATGGCATTTATCCACATGTAGAGATAATACAAGGTCTAAGCACAGTAGGTTTTAAGTCATGAAGTCTCAAAAACCTCCAGTCTGGTAGTCATTCTCGTCCTAAGGAGTGAATACCACCTACGCCATTTAGCAGCTATTATTTGTTGCACCTTGTTATTACAAGTACTTTGAAAGAGAAAGGGTGGGGAGGAGGGAGAGGGTGAGAGAGAGAAAGATAATAATCTTCCAAAAAAAGGGACTCTGCTAGTTTTTCAGTGTTTTGCTTCAACTGTAATTTGGAGATCTGGATAAATATTTTTTAATAGCTGCGTTTTTCCATTACCATGAACCTCTCATTGTTTGACAGAAGCTGTAGTCACTTACCTTCTGTGAAGCAAAACCAATTTAGCACCTTTAAAGTGCCTTTAAAAGCAGAGTGTTCCCTCATCTAATTTCCCAAGCTAAGCTGGAAATGCAGATTTTTATTTGAATAGGAGACCTCCAAAACACACTGCTGGAACTGACACTAGTAACTTTACTTGCAAAAGTTGGCTTTGGGACCAAGTTCTGCAACAGAAGGGGAGCTCTCAAAGTGACCTTTTTGTATTGCACAAAACTCAGGAAATTCCTCTCTAGCACACACATTAAATAATAAGATCCCTAGTGTTGGTCCCAGATCTCCAAAATAATTTCCACTTCTCCTGTTCGGTCCTGGCCTGAATCAGGAAAGCACATCTTTAAAATACTGTTTTACCTCCTTCTTCCTTATTGTTACTGATTTTCATGGCTGCACAACTTTTTAAATATATTTTTTTCATATACACATGAAATTACACCTAGACACTTTTGGCAAACTCTGAGGATTCCATAGCTAAAGAGACAATGCATAAACTGTAGATTTTGATTAGTTCCTGCAATTGGCAAATTGACATCAATACATCATAAAACAAGTTGGATGTGTGAGTCTGATTTTCACCTGAGAATTTGTAAATAAATAAAATTCAAAAGTTAAGCTGCGTAGCCATCTAAAATTGTGAAATGACATATAAAGTGACATATAAAATGACATATAAAGACAGAAAATTCAGGTCCAGAAGTCCATGAAACCATATTATTACTGTGAAATGCCTGGAACTGCCTACATCTGGATTGGTGTAATACAGAAAAAAATTTGTCAGGGCATTTCTCTTGAATTTCCAGAAGCAGAGGGCAAGAAAACATGTGAAATCTAACATTGTCCTAAAAGGGTTGAACTGGTTCTGGTTACATCAGAACTGACATCCAGCCGTGGGCAGGTGTCTACCTACACCACCAGTTCCCCTGTTGGCAGCCTCTGTGGGAGCTAGGCACTAAAGCAACTATGCTCAGACCTTTGAAGGTGTCTCAGTTTCTAACTTGTGTAGATGCTGTTTTTGAAGATTTAATGTCGCAGTCCTTATCTGATGTGAATCTTCTGAAATCAGCTTGCAGCACCCACAGAATTGGCCTGTTGATGTAAAGATATACAACTAGTTTTCCATTAGGGTTTTTTTTTTTTTTTAATTGACAAAATCTTTCTTCAGTTCACCACAGCATGGGTTTATTTTTGGGGTGGGCTTTTTTCCTGTTGTTCTTACCATTATTAATATGCTGTTGAATACCTCATCTAAATCTCCTGATTATTTTTGTTTTCTCCAGTTGGCAAACCCCATAAATGTGGATACTGTGGTCGCAGCTATAAGCAGCGCAGCTCTTTGGAAGAACATAAAGAACGCTGTCATAACTACCTGCAAACCATGAACATCTCAAGCAGCCTTTATTCAGGTAATAAATGTGTCTGTCTGGGGATTAACACTGTCCTGTCACGTATGCAGAAAAAGGAGTGCAAAAGGAACAGTAGTACCATTTGTGGCATCTTTTGCACCGGGGAGGCACACACCCACCCCACCCCACCCCCCATATGTATGATATTGCATCTGGACTTATTCCGTATTTGATAAATAATTGGCTCATCATGTTTAGCTCCAACAAAAAGCCAAAGTAAATCTCAGGCATGTAGCAAACTTGCAAGACCTGGGAAATTTCAGTTCACCATCTCGAGACAGTATGACTACATCATCTCACCACCTTTCCCTTTTGCTTGGAGTCATATATTGCGGTACTCTTCTGGATGTATTCTTAATAAAGACTTATACTAATAAAGTGTTCTAGGTAGGGCTGCAGAATCTTCTGCATTGCACATCTGCCCTTCCCAGGCACAGCTTAAGGGGCTTACTTGACCACTGGGACCAGCTCATCTAACAAGGATGAGCCATCTGTCTTTGATCTTACTGTTCCAAGCAAGAGGACATAAAGCCAGAGGCATTTAATTTAGCCGGTTTGACTGAGACAGTCCAGAAAGGCTAATAATTTGTTGACAGCCTTCTTCCCAACCTCCCCTTTAAAAGAAAACTGGGGGAGGTGAGGATCTGTTTTGCTTCTCTGAGACGCCAGTCTTATGATGAAGGTAGAGTCCATTTCTTAGAGAATATCAAATCTAAAACTATGCCCAGAAATAGAGCAAGCAGATAGTGGGGTTTGGATTTTTTTAACAAAGATCCTAAAGATCTGTATGGGATCAATCACAGTAAACAGCCATACAAAATCCCCTTGCATGTGTAGTTTTAGATAGAGAATATAAGATCCAGTTTCTGTGCCAGAGTTTAAGCCCATCCAGTAAGTTACATTTCTTGCATACCTTTCTGATCCTGTCTGTATATGTTATTTGGTTTGTCAAATGACAAAAATTGAAGGTTCTCGCCGACCTATTTGCAATGATGCCTCATTTAATATTTTATATCTGGACAGAACCTGAATATGTCTTTACATGCTATCAAATAATGTAAAGTATATGCACATAATGATAGCAGTGAATACAGCTGAGATGCTTCTGGCAGACAACATGTTAGAGCAGCGCCCTTTCTAATTTTATTGAGGGTCTGGAGAATGTATAAATAGAAAAGCTCAATGTGATATACAGTGGGCAGCAATACTTATTCCTCAGAAAGGTGATAGGATTTAGAAGCAAATATTCTGTCTTGGGATTTGAATTTTCAGTGTCTGGTACATGGATTTGAACACCTGCACGCAGAACATGAAAATCTGTGTGAATGAGTAGCTGAACTGCTACTAAAGCCTTAGTAAGGAAAAATGCCCAGATGAAACTGGTGTCAGGAATCATAAACTTTAATAGGAAATGATACAATTTTAGAGATGGACCTTTGTTTATAGCAAATCATGACGGGACAATTTACACTAGCTTAGGACTGAATATCTAGTATCTCAGTGGGTTGAAAACTTAGGGAATTCATGAATGCTTTGGAAGAATTACTTCTTCCTTGCATTTACTGAAAGTATCATATAAATCCATATTTTATATAATAGGAGTGCTTTTACAAATTAGAAGATTAACTTTGGGTTTTAGACCTTGTGTCCAGCCAAAGACTTCACTCTTAAAAAAATTTAGTACTCAGTTAATAAATCAATTCTTTGCTTTTCTAAAAAAGTAATCTTTCCTGCATTTTTCCTAGTATTTTGCATTCTAATCTATTCTGCTTCACTGCAAACATACCATTTTGCCATGTTTACATTATTTCCCTTACAAACTCAAAAAAGAAAATGTACAATGAAACAGCTGAGAATGAGTGGGTGTCCTTCTGGGATTTTTAGTGCATGCTACATTGTATCTAGAAAAGCAAGTAGCTATACTACCACTGTTACAATATTTCAGGGTGTGATATGGATCTATTAGAGCCATAACTCAGGCCCCCTTTTTTTTTTTCCAGACTCAAAAAAGTTGGTACAAAAATCTGCTAGGGCATCTGATTTGACATTCTGCTACAGCGGGGTTGCTTTTTACAGCATTTATAAAATACAGTATACATAGAAAAAATGTCAATTGAAAGGACCTAAACTGGTAGAAGCTTTCCATCAGCTTATAAATCTAACAAATATAACTGAGAAAGTACTTATAGAAGGGAAAGATCCAGCAAAGAGGAGTAAGGAGGGGAGGAAGAGATTGTATTTATATTTTAACATTTGTTTGCATTCTTTAAGAGAAGGAGATTCAGCATGAAATTAGGAGCCTGCTGAATTTAATGGCAAAATTTTTATTTGGGAAGACTAGAATATCACTGTCCATGTGAAGTTCTTCTCTTAGAGATATTATTTGAAGTTTTGCATTTGAGTTGAGTAGAAGTGTGCTAAAGTCTTACCAGGCCTATATAAAATAACAGAAGAAATAGTTTATGAAGTTTGAAAAGGGTCAATTACAATTCTTCAGTCACTTGTGGATTTTCATTTGGAAAGATAAAATGGTTTTTTTTTTCCCCATTCACAGACACCAAATTACAGAAAAATAGTTATCAGGTTGGTAGCAAATTTCAGGGGTTTTCATTTGCAAAGGCTGGAAAATAGTACATAATTCTATTTGCCCTTTTTTTTTTTTTAATAGCAGTTTTAAAAGTTTGAAAGTTTGCAAGTTGAATAGATAACTTACCCTCTCTTGAGTTGATTAGAAATTGAATGTTATTATATCCTAAACAGATATTTCTTGATCACTTCAACATATAACTAAAAGATCACTTTTATTTTTCCCTGTTGAATGGGTTGCTTTAAAACATTCTCTGTAAGTCTCTTCCTGAAGTGGTATCTGGAAGCCTTAGCCAGCACAAGATGCTGGCATGTGCTTGTTCAATGATGACGAGGTACCATCAATGCCGTTTACTCTTCTGTGCCTTCATGACCAAATTCTGCTCATATCTTGCACTGGTCACAATCTTCAGCGTCTTCTGGGGCTGAGGCATGATTCCATAAGACTCATTGTCGCTGTCACTGTCTCTGTCACTGTCACTGCAGTATGTGCTGCTGCAGCAGGGACTCAAGAACCAGTTGTGTACTCTTCAGTTTGGTATTGTGGAGTGTTGTTGCCTAGGACGCTTCACCTGCTCCTTCCAGTTATCCATCAGGCCCCGATTTCGCATCTTTCAGGAACAATGAAACTTTCACAATCATCCTTTTATGGCAGCGGTATATTGCCAAAATAGCATTGCAGAGGAACAGCGTGTTCTCAACTATTGAGAAACACCCAGGTACCACAGTAATGGGTTCTGTGAACCAGCAAATCCAGTGATAAAACAAATTCACAGCAGGCACAGAAGGCAAAACATAGCAGAGTGGTGCACCTCATTGAAATAGCTTGCAGAATCGAAGTCTAAAAACCATCTTCTTCTTCTCCCTTTAATAGCAACTCACAAGTTCAGGAAAAAAATCCATATCCTAGTAGAAGGTAAAAGTAAAATTAACCCCTTTCTCTCCTGTCTCTGACCTCCCTTGCCAAAAAAAAAAAAAAAACAACCCCAAAAAAAAGAAATGGTGTCATCTCACTGCATATCACCTTTCCTTTAGATGTTGGAAGTCAGAAATACCTTTCCATACATTTCTCATAGTCATTGTTTTGACAGTGCATTTTCATACATCCCTTCTGTTTCTGCAGGAAAGTACTGAAGTAAAATGTAGTGAAATAGTCTCCCTTCCCTAGAACCTCACAGCTAAGCTCCTTTCTAATTCTACCATCTCAGCAGCAGCAGGAGGTTGGGAAACAGGTTTGAGTATTGGAAATCAGTGCTCCATTATAGATATGACTTCAGCAACTTAAATTGTCCTTTAAAGTCTAAAATTGCATCAAGTATAGAAATATTGACTAGGGGCAAAAAAAAAGGGATGGGGAGAAGGGTTACTGTAGCTTGCAAATACATCTTCCACTGCTGGAACTGAGCAGTTTGTCCATATTTTCTGGTAAAGAAGCAATGATCATACAGGCGGTTCCACTGGGAGAGGTACAGAGGGACAGTGGGGGGTGACAGAGGGAGGGGGAAAAGATGAACAGCCTCATGTCCAGCATAACGTTAGGACCTCATTTATTCACAGAAATGCAGAGTGGCTGTAGAACAAGGGTGGAGTGATTACATACAGGCAGACAGCTTGCAGTTGCAATCTCACTTTTGTGTCCTAAGTGAGGGAAACACGAACATGTACATAGATTAATCAGCATGAGGGACTTTGTTACCAAGAGTCAGAATCGTTCTGTGTCTGCAGTGGTGAGCTCCTCCTTCCAGCTGGTTGGGAGCTAAAAACATTAGCTGAGAAACAATAACCTGAAGACAATAGTTCCATTAAAATGGAACAAGCGTGCCTAACCCTTCTGATGTCATTTGATTTCAGTCATAAAAGAGGAAACTAACCAGAGTGAAATGGCTGAAGACCTGTGCAAGATAGGGTCAGAAAGATCCCTCGTGCTGGATAGACTAGCAAGTAACGTCGCCAAACGTAAGAGCTCTATGCCTCAGAAATTTGTTGGTAAGAGTTAAACGTTTGCTGTCTCCTAAAAAATAAAACAAAACAAAACCCAAAACACATCTCACAGGATTTTTAATTTTGCTTTATGATTTTACTTGTTTTACTAAATTAGCAATATCTATCTCTATAGAAGCAGATACAGCGATGTATTGGGGGAATAAAAAAAAAAACCAAAAAACCAAACAACCAAACTTCTCCAGAATACATTTCTGCATGTTTAATTTTCCACATCTGGAGATTGATTTTAAGTCTTTTTCCTGTCTTTTTCTAATACTTATGAACCAGATCATTACAAGATCTGGACAGGCTCTTGACGTTGCCTTAAGAACCTGAAGATAGGAATAGAATTTTCCTATTGGGAATGCATTTGACCACACTTTCAGGGTTATTTTATTAACTTCTTGGATGACATCCAGATCTGGGCATATTGGTGTTTGTGAAAGCATTTGTGAATAGTTGAGCATCGGCTGGAAAATATTCTTCACCCATTCATAAAGTCTGTATACTTTTACAGCGCAGAATGATCATAGAAATAAATAAAGCTAGGTCTGAGAATAATACCTAAATGAAAAGATCTTTGGGTACATTCTATAAATGATGCAAAACTTCATGCCCATTTGCACCTAGCAGTTTTTGTCTTAACAATGAAAAAAATTGAGGCTACACCTATAAAAATGGAGGCTACACCTATGTTGTTCTGTTTGGTAAGCCGGTACTAAGTAGCGGCTACATCAGTCTTGTAATAGTGAGATCCACAGACAATATTTTGTCAGCTATGTAGAGTTAGTCTTAAATTAATAAAAACATGGGAGATCAGAGGACAGCATATACTCTAGTTAGATGCTTTTATAATTCTCTGCATATTCATTTATAATATTATTCTATAGGAGACAATCAGAGAAAACTTAAGTCTTTGAAACAAAACACACATTAAGAAGGTCTTCAGTCCAAAGTCAAGGCAAAAAAAGACCAGTTTATGGGACAGAAATTCCAAATATATCTTTCTCAATGAGGACACAAGGTTGAAAGGAAAATCAGTATTTCTGAGACAAGGAAAAGGGAATCTCAGCTACATCAGGAGGTGCAACAAAAGGTTTGAAATGAAAGTCCAAGATTATTTTCGAGTCCAAAGGCAACAATTGCAGGAGGTAGTCAAGGATAAGAAGTTCTTATGCTTACAAAAGGACAAAAGTTGTAGTAGAGGTAGTTACCAAAAATATGTCAGCTAATGTGAGGCAAACCTGATATGTTTACACGCTCCAGTAACACATGGCATTAGGCAAAATACTAACTCTATGAAAGCTCCAGGAAGACCAGAAGTGTTAAAATTCAAAAGGTACTAGCAAGTATCCTATATGTGATGTATCCGTGGGTGTGGACTAGCTTTTTTGTTCTCCTTTTCTCTCTTCACCCTGAGAAACAGTAAAGACAGCCAGTTTAACTACGAGTTTTAGGAGGGCAGAGTTTCCTGTCAGTTAGTTATTCAGGGTGCGGTGTAGGAAGACAACCTACTGACAGCAGATATTTATGGAAATTTGCTAACTTTCAAAAGGACGAACTTTTCTGACAAGAAAATGCCCCCAAATCCTTTCCTTTCCAATCCTCACCTGCTGCTTCATGTAATAGGTACATTCCTGATTAACACAAGGTTGGGCCGGCTCATCAGGAGACCCTTTGGGTAATAAAACATGTTTATTGCTCCTGTAGATTACTGTGTCATCCCAATCCCCGTGCTGAATTCCAGGGAGAAGGAGCAAATGCCATCCTTCACATAAGGGAAAGACTGCTGCTTCACCTGTTTTTCTCAAGGCTAAATTCATTACCTTTCAAAAGTGAGATTGTTCACCAAATTAGCCAGTTATCTCTAAAATTCTCTCTGTATTCCAAACTGGAATAGCTCCCACACCCAAAAGCAGAACTGGGCCATCCAGACTAGAGAGTGAGAACTGCAGGTGAGGTTGACACGTTTATCATGTTAAAATAATAGGCAGCAGAGAAAGAGAGCAGTTACAAACAACAGAAAAAATAGCGCCCACATGCACTGGGTGCAGTTTTGCTATTTAGGTACCTGCTGCAGAATGAACACTGAATGGTGCAAAGCTTGAAGTGCATCAAACCATTAGCAGTTTAATTTACTTATGCTCTAATAACCACAGAAATGAGCTATTATTTTTAATGAGTGCAAATATTGCCTGCATTGCCCAGATATAGAAATGATACCTGCCTACCTCAAGTTTGTGTCTGTTTCAGACACTCTGCTTGGAAACAAATTTTTCTTATGAGCACTTGATCCTCTCAGTCCAACTACCACCTAGTTATGCTACATAAAGCAAATACAAACCAAGAAACAGCTATTAAAATCATGCCTTCTGGATGCCCAAAATTTTATGTGTAATGAAGACCTGTCCCACTTTTCAGTGGTATATAGTGCCCATGTAATGTAAATGATTTTGACCTCATTTTTTCCTCCTTGAGTCAAGGGTATACAGTCATATTAGGAGAATTTTTCTGTATTTAATTCAAGAGTCTTTCACAATGCCTATTTTGAATCTTAAGCCTCAAACTCTGCCTGAAAACTATAGCATTAGAAAGGGTAAATCTGGAAGAGAAATGAATGCAGCCCAGTAGAGGGGTGCTCAAATTGGCAGAATAATAGGGAAAGGAAACAAGGGGAAGTAGAAGCTTGTGCAGGGCTGCTGGAAGGTGTCTGTACCCTACATCCCTTGTAGGAACTTACGCAACGCTCCGAGTGCTTCTTTCTCTGCTTGCAGAGCATGGACAAACTAGTATGAAACCGTATCTTGTGGGAAATGTAGACAGCAGGACTTTCTACACTTTAGCCCCATCATTGCAATAGTGTCATGCTAGAAGTCTTCTGGGCTCTTCACTGGCTTTGAATAGTCAATTTGAGTAGAAAGTGGGTGGGGAATTGTTGATAAATTAATTTGCAGATCTTCTGGTAAATTTTCCATGCTCCTATTAGCATTTCTTTTAGACAAATCAGGACTTTCCAAGGCTTAACAGCAAATGTCATGTTGATTAGGAAATGGTGATAGAACCTCATAGAGATGTTTGTGGCTTTCAATTAATTTCCCAAGATGTGCAGAGCTAGAAAATCCACCCGGACTGTAAACAATGTCTTATTGGTAGTTCCTAGGAACCTGTGGCAATTTTTCACTCTTTTGCATTTGCACAAATTTATTAGGGGCCTGATAATGACATTGATGGTTTACACTGTTTGAGAAGACTGTTAGGTTGATAAAATCAGCATCTGTGCATTTAAATAGTTTCTTCCACTCCTAACTCTTACCTTCTATGTTTTCCTTAGTCCTATCTGTCCAGGAATTTTGAGAAATTGTAGTGAAACTCAGCGTTCAATACTAGGGCATCCAGCTAGAGATATATTAGTGCAGATTTTTAAAAAATTAAGAGTCCCCCCCCTTACTTCTGGCATCCCAAATCACAGAGTCAAAGTTACGAGTAACAGGTAATCTTGTTCTGTGTAGGGCTTTTTACCTCGTAGGAAAAATATATTCCAACTACAAATGCACTTAAACTTTTTCCATGGTTCTTGGCTGCTCCTTTAGGTGATAACTTTTTGACAGAAAATTTCTAGGAACATGAGTAGCTTCTGGTAATGTGTCTGACATGGCTTATTTAAAAAACAAGGCGTCAGGGGGAGATGGCAATATGAAAAGTTAAGTTTTTGTTGATTTTTCTCAAAAGTGACATACGACCACATTGCCGATGTGGGTTATTTGTAAGAAAGTGAAGGTCTAAAACTAAAACATACAATTTCCAGTCTAAAATTGTAATAGTTTAGGGGAAAATACTGATAATGTGCTTCATGCTCTGAAGCATGAAGGCCAGGCTCACTGTAACTGTGCTGGTAGACTGTCTTCACTAACCACAAGGGCATTCTTCAGCTCACTGTAGGAGGCAGATGAGGGAGTCCAGTTAGGAAGGAGAAAGAGAGGCTGAAGCACTCGATCTGCAGCTCCCACGAGTCCCTGTACAACTATTTCCAGAATCAGTTTTCATCCATTTGCTTTTCCAAAGACTTGAAATTATTTTGCAGGTTAAAAAACCACCAGCAACCAACCATTTTTTTGAACAGCTATATTAGAGAACTATGAATACCTCAGGTGAATTTCAGGGGTGGATTTGATCAACCCTTTTCTTCCATGTTGCTGTTTATTTAATACATGATCATAGAATCATAGAATCGTTTAGGTTGGAAAAGACCTTTAAGATCATCCAGTCCAACCATTAACCTACACTACCAAGTCTACTCTAAGCCAATCAAGGGTAGACTAGACTAAACCATGTCCCAAAGTGCCACATCTACCCGTTTTTTGAACACAAAAAATGATGTTCGGTTCCTTAATTGTGTAGAAATCAGCCCTCTAACTCCTGACTGTTTTTCACTGCAGGTGAGAAATGTCTGTCCGATCTTCCTTACGATGCCACCACCAACTATGAGAAGGAGAATGAGATAATGCAGACGCACGTTATAGACCAGGCCATTAATAACGCCATCAGTTACCTGGGGGCAGAGTCCTTGCGTCCCCTTGTCCAGACACCGCCAGGTGGTTCTGAGGTGGTGCCCGTCATCAGCCCCATGTATCAGCTCCACAAACCTCTCGGGGACAATCAGGCTCGCTCCAACCATACAGCTCCGGACAGCGCAGTGGAAAACTTGTTGCTGCTTTCCAAAGCCAAATCCGTCTCCTCCGAACGAGACGCCTCTCCCAGCAACAGCTGCCAAGACTCAACAGATACAGAGAGCAATAACGAGGAACGCGGTGGTTTAATTTATCTGACAAACCACATAGGTCCCCATGCAAGGAATGGCATCTCTATAAAAGAAGAAAACAGGCAATATGATGTCTTGAGGGCAGGTACTGACAATTCCCAGGATGCTTTCAAAGTGATCAGCAGCAATGGGGAGCAAGTGAAAGTTTACAAGTGCGAACACTGTCGAGTCCTTTTCTTGGATCACGTGATGTATACAATCCATATGGGCTGCCACGGGTTCCGTGATCCTTTCGAATGCAACATGTGTGGCTACCATAGCCAGGACAGGTACGAATTCTCCTCCCACATAACCCGAGGGGAGCACCGTTTCCACATGAGTTAAAACTCCTCCGGCACAGATCTAGCCTCAACAGCTGCGTTACTGGAGCTGCACGAGCCACGACAGCAACAAAGCACAAGTCAGATGGACAGTAAAAGTAACAAGAGAATCAAAAGTTCAGCTATCTTCTCCCACAAGAAAAGATTTTTTCCTTTCGGTAGCATGCATTGCAACTCAGTTTTCTAAAATGAATACTAAAGTTTTTACTGAAAATGTTTGATCACCAAAAAACATTTAGTAATGTAAGTAGGAGCTTTTGTAGTCACATAGCTGAAAGCCCTTCCCTTAACTGATGCTTCTTGCAAACCTCCCTTGCCAAAACTGTTAACCATGCGCAGGATGCAGCACGCTGACAAGGATGCAACAGGCAGGAGTGGCTGAGCTTTCTTAACACCCTGAGCGCAGGCCTCTTACACCAGATTTATGTTTTTTTGACTTCCTGGTATTATTTGACTCTTTTAGGAAGATTAAACTCAACTAAAGATGGAGGGGCCCACCTCAGATGACTTCACAGACAGCTGGGGTGGGACGGGACCCCCAAGCCAGAGGGTTCTGAGTTGCTTTGGCGGTAAAAAGTAGAATGTTTCCACCTGCAGGGGTGCTGCTGGTATTGACATCATGGCATGCCTTGTTTGTGTCACTAGGCAGGCGAGCAGGTATGTGAAGAAACACCCTTGTAATATACTCTGTGAAGTATGAACTGCATTTAATGTATAGAAAAATGGTATTGTTGCCTCTTCTTTGAATAAACATTTTCTCGCCCTGTCCAATAAAACCCCATTTATCGTTAAGCAATCCCTCCTCTCTCTGCATAAACAAGTCATGATGTATTTAATTTTTCTTTCTTTCTTTTTTAAGTTTTAGTTATTTAGAAAAGTATGATGTGCAGTTGAGAAAAGCACTAGCTAGAAATACGTGTGGGGAAAGTCTCCTTATGCACATTTTTCATCTTTTTAAACTGCCTGGGAAATATCCAAATGTCCCTCTCTTACATATGAAAAAAAAAATCCCATTTTGCTTGCACAGATGATGTCCTCTTGTAGATTTTGTGGTTCTACTCGTAACTGTTGCACTTAATTATTTTTAAAGCTCTGAGCTGAATTAAGCCTGCCAGTCGAAATTTGTAGCCTTCTCCTTTTTTCCTGGCACTTGCTGTTTAATGAGGGACCAAGCACCTGCAAAGGTGCTGAGAACCCTGGCTTCCTAGTCAACAATTCATTTCACCATGTGCTTTAAGTTACTTTTACTTCGGTGGAACTAATCTTAAGGTTAAAAAAATGGTGGTTTGCTGGATGGAGACCAGAGACTGCAACACTTTGCAGAGTGCGGTGAAGTCCACCAAGAGCTTTCTCCATGGCGGGTTCTGCTGCAGATACTGAAACTTCAGTTAGAATAAACACTTCTATGACAAATAGATTTTAACCCCAAACACAGCTGATATAAAAAAAAATACCTTTTTTTAAAGCTTGTACTTAACTTCCTCTTCCAAATAGTTCATTCCTCTCCCTGAACACCCTCATACTTTAAGATTGGGCAAAAAAGAAATTTTTGCAGCTGCATAAAAATCTGTCATCGGTGCTGCAACACTTCCTGGGCAACACTTGTAAGAATAACTTAATGTATAAATACCTCCACTTTGCATAATAAATGGATATTCTGCAATAAACACAATCGTATAACCAACAAGACTAGCAGTCTTGGCATACGGTTACACATTCTCCATTCACAAGTGCATGCAAGCACATATATTTATTATAAAAGAGACTTGCTGGAACCATGAAGGCTTGTACCTAGGCCAGTTTGGCCTGATGTCTGTAGCTATATTTGATATACATTTCCTATATATACATACTATTACAGGCACGCAGAGTTCCTCCTTCTGCTTTCACTTTTGCAGGTGTAAGTCAGGAGCAACAACACTGAAGTTAGAGGAAAGATACTGATGAAGTGAAGAATTACAAATATACTCTTTACAATCTCATATCTTAGCTTTTCACGCCAACTGTAAGACACTTACCTCATATGACACGCGAGCACAGAGGCGTTTTTACATTGAAAGTGCACGCGTGTGCGCCTACTTAGTAGCTTTGCCGCCAGGTGTGAATGCCGTGTATGAAGGTCCATAGACTGATGCCTGTACCCACAACAGTGAAAACAAACTGCTAGGACATGTTGGGTAGGCCAGCACATACGGGATGGCCAATGACCACCCAAAAAACGAGTAGTGTAAACTACAGGCCCGAAGGTGAGCCCCTCTACTCCTGCATTATAACTCCGTTGCCTTAAGAGACGTTATTGCTCGTTACCTTCCAGCCCCAGACACTGTGCAGGGAGCGGGCACAAGGAATCGTCGGCCACTTCCATGCCCCGACTACAGTTTTGTCGCCAATGCCTGCTACACATTCAGCTTCAAGACAGACTGTACCTGGCAACGAGGTATTGCCAAATATTTTGTGTAGGGACTACCTGAAGAGGACCTTCAAGCGGGGAGCTCGTGGTGATGAGTTTCCTTTATTTTTTTTTTTTAATAAAGTTGAAATGGGTTCATTTCTTCATAGCTGGTAGGGATACATTCAGCTGCTCCCACCCCTCTCCACTTTTGACTGGTACCAACCAAGAAGGGGCAAAGTAACTTCCCAGCCCTGCTGCAATGTCCAGAGTGAAGTCAGATGCTGGATGTACAGAAACATTCTGCTTTTATTGCTCCTACACCTTTTTCCTACTGCTCTTAGATTTAGGCCACTATATACCCCATGCCATAACTTTTTTTTAACCCTTCATTTTAAGACACCCCAAGCTATAAAGGGGGGGAGGGGAGACAGAAGTTTACTCAGGTGGTTTTGTTTCTTTGCTTTTACTAAAATGCAACACAAATAAAGCCACGTTCATTAACCGTGTAAACAAGCATAGCTCCAGTGGAGTTTAAGACTGCCTTGAACGTAACTTTTAAATGTGATGCCTGATTCCTGGGCAGGTTCACTGCCTTTGCAACATCTCTGTGCACACACGCACGTGTATGAGTTTCTGTGTCGCTTTTCTTGTCGCCATCCACATGCCCTGTCTGTGGTTTCGTGTATCATTAACATTTTATATACATATGTTTGTGTATATATCTCTAAGATGGTTCAGATGACATGATGATGCACTGTCAATCACAGTGGATTTGTCTCCTGGATTTGGAGTTTTCTTATTTATACTATAACAGAATATGTTGATGTTGTATATTAAACGATGCAGTAGCGTAAGTAAGTATATTAAGCCACAGTGTATCAGAGGGCATAGTCTAAAGGCAGCAGCAAACAGCATTCTCTGTTCATGAAGGGGCTTCTTTAGGTTTGCTTTTTTCGGTGGTGTTTTTCTTTTTTTGCACAAAATCATCTTCAATTTGTTTAGAAACAAGTGTTTCAATAATTTTATTTATGAACGTAAGCAAGGATGGCATGAAAATAGGGTGTTGTGTGTGTGTACATCGAAACAAACTGTGCCCTCAGAAAACTAGTTTAGTGTAATCTCCCTTTTTCTCTTTTTTTGCTGTGGTACAATACCCTGATATGGTTTAGCTGAACCCTAAAACGAGTAAATATGGTGAATGGCTTTAAGTTTATATCTGTTTTTAAAAAGTTTAAAATAACCGCTTCCCAGCCCTTCCCCAGACACAGCCTCTTCTAATAGAAAAGTTGTATTTACACACTTTTTCTTTGCCATTATTTTATATTGTAACTTCATTTTTGAGAACATTGTATTTAAAAAAAAAAAACAAGGAAATTTCATTAAAATCAGGAATGTTATTAAATTATGTCTGCAAAGTGAGGTGTACCTTTTAAGACGAGAGAACACGGTCAAAAAACCCAAACCCCAGAACATTCCTGTCGCTCTCCTCGGGGGTGAAGAAGTGGCTCGGCCGAGCCGGCGGCCCTGCGCGTGC